GGACTGGGTCAAATGAGTTGATTTGGGCCTGGTTTTTGGTCTCAATTTTAAGCCCACATTTGAATTCCTTCATTTTTTGAACTCTTTTTCTTTTCCTTCTTTAATTTCTAATTTAAACACAATTCCTAATTAAATTGTAAAATCAAAAATAAAACTACACAAATATTAATTAACACTTATAACAATTAACACACAAATTAAAACCTCAAAATAAAATCACACAATGACAACAAATAGAATAAAATGCATATTTTGTAATTTTCTTTTTAGAGCCAAATAATGGTTTAATTAAATCCTAAATGCATAATTAAATCCTAAATATGCATGCAACATGTATTTTTCAATTAACTACAACAAGGTAAACATTTACGGACAAAATAATTACCAAAAATGTCACGCAAATTCTCAAAATTGTACCTGAAGGCAACTTGCTTTATTTCTCGATTTCTTTTGGAGTAATTTCCGTAAAGAAAAAATCACGTGCTCACAGTATGATGCAACAACTCATTGGGACAAATGGAAAGATGCAAGAGTTAGCTACACATGATTCAGCAATCAAAGGCATTGAAACCCAATTAGGACACATATCTATGGCCTTGAACAATTGCCCATAAGGAACATTGCCTGCGGATACAAACATTAATCCAAAGTAGCTGAACCCAAATCAGCTCATGGCAGTGAGTCTTAGGAATGGGAGAGATTTAAACATGGAGAAAGAATTTGCTCAATCTAAGAGAGAGACAACGCCAGCTACTCCAGTTACATTAGAGATAGATGAGTGAGCAGAGCTCACCGAGGTTGTAATCGAGCAAGCACAGGTTTATAAGGGTAAGGAGAAGAAAGGTGAACAACTCCCAGAACAGGTAGTAGAAAAAGCTTCCAGCAAAGAAAACACACAAAGCAGTAGGCGAAGGTTAATTCTTTCACCATTCCCTCAGAGGTTGGCAAAGCAAAAGAAAGATGATCACTACAGGAAATTCATCGAAATGCTCAGCCAAATTCAATTGAATATTCCACTGATGGATGCTTTGATGGAAATTCCAAGGTATGCAAAAATGATGAAGGACCTGATGTCGTGAAAATTTAACTTCTAGGACTTATCCACTATAACCCTAATGCAGACCTGCAGTGCGGTAATGACAAGGCCTATGGCTCAAAAAGTGTCTGATCCAGATAGTTTCACTATCTCAAGCACCATTAGGAGTTATGCTTTTGCTAAAGCATTGTGTGACTTGGGAGCCAGTATAAACTTGATACCCTTGGCAATCTATACAAAATTGGGCATTGGCAGAGCTAGACCGACCTCAATGTTGTTGCAATTGGTTGATCACAGAGTCAAAAGACCGATAGGAATTCTTGATGATGTGTTTGTTCAAGTGAGGAAATTTGTATTCACTGCAGACTTTATCATTCTTGACTGTCAAGTGGATGAAGAGATACCAATCATTATGGGCAAGCTGGTTTTAGCCACTGGGAGAGCATTGATTGATTGTGAGACTAAAGAACTAAAAATGAGGTTGAGCAATGAAGAGATAATATTCAATGTTCAACAATCTATGAGGAGACCTAGTGAATTTGCAAATTGCTCACTAGTAGAGGCCGTAGATGTAATACTACAAGCGGAGGAAGAGACTATTAATGTTAGGGATCCGTTGGAAGCCTGCTTGATGAATATGGAAAATGTGGATGGTGAGGAGTTGGCAGAGTGGGTCATGGCTCTTGGAAGAAAGAACAACACCACTTACGAAATCATCGATAGAGGAGCCACCACAATTGGACCTGAAACTGCTTCCAGAGTATCTTAGGTATGCTTTCTTAGGGCCTAATTCTACTTTAACTGTTATTATATCATCTGGTTTGATAGTTGTGCAGGTAGAGCAACTCCTACAAGTGTTACAAGAATGTAAGACTGCTATTGGTTGGACCATGGCAGACATAAAGGGTATCAGCCCAGCTTTTTGTATGCATAAGATTCTCTTGGAATAAGAGCACAAACCTTCCATAGAACATCAACGAAGGTTGAACCCGAATATGAAAGAGGTGGTGAAGAAGGAAGTGATCAAATGGTTAGATGCGGGTATCATCTTTCCCATCTCTAACAGCAATTGGGTCAGACCTGTTCAGTGTATGTCGAAGAAGAGAGGAATGACGGTCGTACAAAATGAGAATAACGAGTTTATCTCGACTTGTACTGTCACGGGATGGCGGATTTGCATAGATGATCAAAAATTGAACACAGCTACCCGGAAAGACCATTTTCCCTTGCCATTCATTGACCAATTGTTGGACAGGTTGGCTGGACGATCTCACTTCTATTTCTTCGATGGATATTCAGGTTATAATCAGATCTCAATAGCCCTCGAAGACAGAGAGAAAACATCATTTACCTGTCTATATGGCATCTTTTCCTTTCGGAGAATACCTTTTAGACTTTGCAATACACCGGCTACATTCCAACGATGTATGTTAGCCATTTTCACGGACATGGCTGAAAAAATTATGGAGGTATTTATGGATGATTTCTCTGTGGTGGGGAATTCATTCGGGGACTGTCTTCACAATTTAAGAAGAGTTCTCAAAAGATGTGTGGAGACAAACTTAGTGCTGAATTGGTAGAAGTGCCATGTTATGGTACCAGAAGGGATAGTCCTGGGGCATCGAGTGTCTAGAAAAGGGATTGAGGTTGACCATGCTAAGGTTGACGTGATTGAGAAGTTGCCACCTCCAACTTCAGTCAAGGCAGTAAGAATTTTCCTTGGGCACGCCAGGTTCTACAGGCGATTCATAAAATATTTCTCTAAGATTGCTAACCCTTTATGCAAACTCCTTGAAAAGGATCAGCCCTTTGTGTTTTCTAATGATTGCAGTTCAGCATTTGAGAAGATAAAAAAGAGATTGTGACTGCACCCATCATTGTTGCACCCAACTGGGAGCAACCGCTCGAGCTCATGTGCGATGCAAGTGACTATGCTATAGGAGCCGTCCTTGGGGAACGAAAGGATAAGCTTATGCACCTAATTTATTATGCAAGTAGAACGCTAAGCAGTGCATTTATTAGCAATGACAATGGAGGATACACCATGGTATGCTGATATTGCTAATTATTTAGCAAGCGGTATTATACCTTATGAACTTCTTCAATTCAAAAGAAAAAGTTCTTTCGCGATTGTCGGTTTTATTATTGGGATGAACCTCTAATTTTTAAAATATGTGTAGATAACATGATCCGGAGGTGTATCCCCGAGAAACATCAACCTTCTGTTTTGCAGGCTTGCCATGCTTCAACATATGGTGGACACTTTGGAAGGATTCGAACAATAGCTAAGGTGTTGGAATCAGGTTTGTATTGGCCAACTCTATTTAAGGATGCCTATGCTTGGGTGAAAAGTTGCGATGAGTGCCAAATGACAGGTAACATATCTCGACGTCAAGAGATGCCGATGACTACTATTCAAGAGGTGGAGGTATTCAACATGTAGGGGGTTGACTTTATAGGGCCATTCATCAGCTCGTATGGTAAAAAATACATATTGGTGGCAGTTGACTATGTCTCCAAATGGGTTGAAGCTATGGCTCTCCCAACGAATGATGCAAAGGGGGTGACAGGCTTTCTAAAGAAAAATATCTTCACACGTTTTGGCACCCCGAGAGCTATAATCAGTGATTGTGGAACCCATTTTTGCAATAGAGCATTCGCACGGTTTTTTGAAAAAGTATGGAGTTGTCATAAGGTGACCATCCCTTATCACCCACAGTCAAGCAGGAAAGTTGAAGTATCAAACTAGGAAATCAAAAGTGTCCTAACCAAGACAGTGAATGCGATAAGGACTGATTGGGCAAAGAAGCTGGATGATACATTATGGGCATACCACACAACATTTAAAACTCCAATTGGTATGTCACCATACAAGTTGGTGTTTGAAAAATCATGTCACCTTCCGGAGGAGCTCAAGCATAAAGCCCTTTGGGCACTGCGGTAGTTGAATTTGGATATGGAGACCATAGGCACCAGTAGAGTCACTAGGTTACATGAACTCGAGGAATTCAGGTTCCATGAATTTGAGAATGGAAGATTGTACAAAGAAAGGATGAAAATGATTCATGATAAGCATATTCTAGAGAAGAACTTCAAACCTGGAGATCTAGTGTTGTTATACAACTCGAGACTAAGATTGTTCCCGGGTAAATTGAAGTCCTGATAGTTAGGACCCTTCAGAGTGGTACAAGTATTCTCAAGTGGAGCAGTACAAATTGAATCTGAAGATGGAACAAATAAGTTCACAGTGAATGGGCAAAAGTTAAAACATTACCTTGGAATGATCGCAAAAAATGGGGATAGAGTGGTAATATCTTTGGAAGAGCCCCAATATATAAGCGAAGAGTAATAATGAAAGCATGCGTCGTGTCGTGACGTTAAATCAGGCACTTCCTGGGAGGCAACCCCTGATTTGTTGTAAATAGTCGTGCCGCGACATTAAACTAGGCACTTTTTGGGAGGCAAGCCATTATTTGTTTCTTTATTTTTATTTTTTTAATTGATTTTTGAACGATAAAAATATTGATCGATCTACTAAGGTGCGGGAATGAAAGTATGCGTAGTGGAAAGACTCGGGGTGACGAAATTATCCAGGAGATAGGCAAAAGTGCAAAAAAAGCAAAAACAATTCTAGATGCCTAATCCACGGCCATAGATCTGACCGCGGATTGACCGTGGATTTGGCAGAAGTTCTGTCTGTTGCCGCGGATTTGACCGCGAATCCGGTCGCGGATCTGGCATCGTTCAGGTTCAAATTTTTTATTTTTTATTTTCTTTTCTCTTCTCCCCTTTTTAATTAAGTTTTTTTTAATTAAGTCCCCCCCTCCCTCATCCGCCCACTCCCCCACTTCTTTTCCCCTCCTCCATAAACAAAAGCAAATCTAAACCCTCCCGCTTCCCCAAGTCAAAACCTGCCCCCTCCCTCATCTTCTCCCCAATTTTTTCTAACTTCACCAAATCTCCTCTCCTTCTCCCTCTTCTCTACTCAACCACTACTCTAGCTCTATTCCTCACAAGATTCTCAAGTAAGTACATGCTTCTACTTTTCTTTTTTAGCTTTTTTTGTTTTTCAATTTTTTTATTCTTTTTTTTCTCTTGTATTATAAGTGTAGGATAGTAGAAGTTGTGGGTACTTTTATCTTTGTTTTTGTTTGTTGGTATATATGTTGGTATGTGAGAACATTAGATTTGGTTAGGTTGGGAAGACATTGTTGAATTGTGAAGAATGGAAGTTTAATTGGGGATTTGGGTACATTTGGAGGCATATGCATAGTAGGTGTTTGTTGAATTACCACAATGAGTTTTTTTGTAGTATAAATTGTAATTAATAGTGTGAGTGAAGTCTGAGTAACCGCCATTGGTTCACATTATTCCCTCGATTATTGTTGTGTAGGTACCATGAGATCTTCAAAGAAGAGACGCACTACCAGTGCCTCATCAAGTGGTCATGGAGGCTCATCCCAGGCATGGCCACCAGCCAGTTCAGCTCAATTTGATCACACCAGGTTTGTCTCTTGAGCTGCCCAAGACCGATTTGGTTGGAAGGCTATTAGAAAGCCTGTACCAGAAAGGGGAGGTGACATGGCTTCCCTCCAGACTGAGTGCCCCAATATATATCGAGAGTTGATTAGGCGCTGGCTAGACATCTTCTTGGAAGAGCCGGAGGATGGTAATTTAATGCTTGTTAGGGAATTCTACGCCAACTGCTCTGAACATGAGGATTACATCTGCACTATGCGACAAAAGAGGGTGAATGCCTCGATAGAAGCCATCAGGAGAGTGTATCGCTTGACTGCATTTACTAGGGAGGTGGATTACTATGATACTTATAAGCGAGAACCAACAAATTGACAATTATTTTTTAGAACTATCTGTGTACCAGACAAAGAGGTAGTGTGGGTTGTACCGTGATCAAAGTTGCACTCTGCCTCACTCACCTTTGAAGGAAAATGTTAGTTGTACATCATCAATTGTCGATTGTTGCCATCCCACAATGCCACTGAGGTAAATTGTCCGAGAGCTGTTTTGATCTAGTGCTTCATTAATGGCCAAGATTTTGATGCGGCCAAGGTTATTCATTCTCAGATGTTCATCTGTTCAACACCGAGGAGGTATGGGTTCTTTTTCTTATCTCTGGTCACTAGATTGTGCCGAGCCGTAGGGGTGCCAGAGAACCCTACTATGGATGGCAAGGTGAAGAAAGAAACAAAGTTTCGGGCATCCAAAGTGACCATTAGGAAAGACACGGTGGCACCCGGTTCAACTGATAGTGATGATTTTGAGGCATCAAAGGAGAGTGATGAAGAGCAGGAGGAAGTTAGGCCTTTTTCAACCCCATATGAACAAGTTGGGCCATCCTTATCCCCCATAAGAACAAGTATCCAGGGGTGAAGGTTTATTTGCAGTCAGACGGAGTACGCGGATGACAGCCTTAGAATAGGAAATGGCAGGGTTGCGTACTTCCATCACGGAATTGGGGACTAGAGTTGATGCTTTAGCCACCCAAAATGCGAAGTCAGAGAAACCATTCATGGGTTGGCTGCGTGCGCTGGGAAGGGCATGTCATCTTGACCCCAGAACTGTCTCCGATCAAGACCGGTCTTCCAAGGAAGTCCCTTTACCTCGCATAACTTTATTTTGTATGACATGGGGACATGCCATCATTTTAAGTGTGGGGTGGGGGACACTTTGTTGGTTTGTTGTATGTAGAATTTCATAGTTTATTTACATAAATCATTTTCGACTTGTCCTGACGATGGATATCATTCG